AAAGGGATCGGTGATTCAACTTCACAAGATGATTAACTTGGTAAGGTTTGATGGGTTGTTGAGTCTTTTGAAGTGGTTAAGCTATGACTAATTTGATCTGAACCCAAAGCACGATGAGAATATTGGAACTGGATTCTTCGTTTAGGTATCAAGTGTTGTTCCCGATTCTCTATCTCAAGAATTTTGTCATCTATTGGGCGAGTTCTCAAAAAAGACCTTCCTCGGTCCCCCAATCCTTCGTTCATTTGGCAGTCCAAACAGCTCCAACCACCGCGTGCCTTGTCTTAATCAACCATCGACCTGCCAACTGATTTGGAACGATTTCCCTTGGGTGACTGATTTTGTTTTGCACCATTTGCTCGAATGGCATGTTCAATTTTTTCAGGGGTTGCAGGGCCAGGATAGAGGAACTGGGAAGACTTTGTTCTTGAATGTGGGGATTAAGAGATTTGCAGTATTTTGAATGTGGGTTTGCAAATCCTTTTCTTCAATAGTCTTTGTGAGGTTCTCAATGGAATGAGCCATAGTTGCTAGTTGTTCCTCCACCGTAGCAGCTCCAGTCATCATAGCAACAACCACATCTGAGTATTATAGGCCTTGAGAATCCACGTTCCTTGAAGTACTTGATTGCTCCGAAGTCTGACGTGGTGACTCTGGGGGTGAACCGACACTAGAGTGAGCATCATAGATAGAACGAAGTGAATCTGGTGGTGGAGCCTCCTCTGGAACAATGTCAAGGTTTTTGACATGTTGAGTTTTCACGTTCGCCGGTGTTGCAGGATTAGTTTTCACCACATCTTGCTGAAGTTTGAATGACGCCATCGCCTGGGACTTGCTACGTGTCACAGGGCCCGTCAAGGTACTTCCATCGCTTAATTTGGTCTTCGTGCCACTTTTCATGATGGCTTTAGCGTCGACCTTTGCAATAGCGATGTTCTTTTGGGCTTTCTTGTCTGTCTGAATCTTAGGGGGAGCCATAAAATCTGATAGAGAAGAAACTTGATGGTAGGAGAAAGAGATGAGAGGCAAAGGTAGTCCCATCGGACATGTCACAAATTTGCACACACAAATTTTGTAAGTCTGCAATAGAAACAAAATATGGAGCAAAATAGAATTTTATTAATTTATGAATGTGGAGTACAGTCCTTTGTAATATCTTTTACAAAAAAAAAGAATGGTCCTCTGATTCGATCTCCTTGTTTTTGGTTGGTTGGATCCAAGAGCTGCACGAGCTTATTCTTGAATCACTGTGGAATTTGATGAAGAACGGCACGTTGTTGGATGTGCTTGATGTTTTTCGCTTTTGGGTTTCGATTCTGAATTTGTGTCTGAATTCTGAGTCTCTGGATTTCTGAGTCTCTGAACTTCTGAATTCTGAATTTGTGTATGAATTTGTAAACTTCTGAATTCTGAATCCTCTCTCATTTTTTTCTTCCTCCAAGCCTCTATTTATAGGCTTCTTGGATTAATAGGATGATGACACGTGTCATCTCCTGATAAGGATAAAACTATAACTGGGCCGGGCCGGTTATATTGTGATAATTATCCTTAAAGATAATTATTCAAAATATATTTTATTAGGAATAATTATCGTTTCATTTAATTATTTGGGCTGGGCTAATTAAATAATTTAAGTGGACCAAGCCTGGTAAATTAAATAATTTATTTAAACATTAGGCCTATATTTAATGGGTCCATTCGTTAAAACCAAAACCCACTAAATTTTAGTGTCTACAAACACCAAATATTGAAGTATTTGCACCGAAGATTTGGGAGATCGAATCAGAGAACATTCTTTCTTTGTAAAGAATATTACAGAGAATTGTACTCACTTATCAAATATTAATAAAATTGATTATTTGTTCTACTATTTCTATTCTTTTATTGCAGATTAAGAAATTTGTGTGTATAATATTCACACTCAATGTAAGAAGGGTTATATTCCACCTTAAATGGAGAAATACCAAATGGAGCTCATCTTCCTAAAGATTTACAATAGAATTGGAGAATTAATTTATTTAGTTCTAAAACAATTTAATCTGTAATTAGCAAGTATCACAAATTCAATCATGAATTAAAAATGCAACCACCAATCACTTGCGTAACCAATATTTCTCTATAAACAATATTGTATGCATCATTTTAAATAAAAACAATAACCGATAAAAGGAAAAAAAAAAAAAATGAAAGTTTTAGTATATAATTTTTCTTCTTACTTTTTTTTTTTTTTTTTTTTAATGACAATTAATTACAATTGACTAATTTACTCCAAAAATCATAGTACATGAAAGTAATTGCAAACAAGAAAGTAAGAACTGGTTTAAGGTTACCCAATATTGCTTGCTACAAGAGTTAGAGAGTCACAGCTGACAGCTTCTTATTAAAATATCTTCAAGAATTTTCTGCTACAAATAAAATTTTATTTTCTTCAATTTTTTGTTTTACGTAACAAAACTTATACATATAATTAAATAGACCAATTTTATCTGTAGGAACAAATTAGTTGGCGATCCATGTGAATATGAAAAATGGAAGAAAAATAAGGATGTCAAATGCATTATAGTAAACATTGAAAACTAAATTGCTCATACCCACTTCGTCGCACTCTCTCACCAATTGTTATAGAAGGTAATCTCATCTAAACAAATAGTTGTGTTTCACCTTGGTTACGACCAAAATAACTATTCAGGTCCAGGATAATTCAGAACACACACCTTGTGACAATGAGTTGTCGCATAATTTAAGAAAATATCTAAGTAAACTCTCTATAGACAATGATCCATCACATAATTTAAAAATACTATTAGTAATATTTTTAAACAAAAATAGTACTTTTTTTTTTTTTTTTTTTGACATTTTTTGTTTTTGTTTTTGAATAATGTGAATTAGGCTATAGATTTCTTGGGAAGGAATTTTTTTGGGAGGAACGGGTTCCTTTTTAAATAGTGTGAATATTATAATTTTTTTATTTTTTTTATTTTTTACGTTTCTTCTTCCTTTTTTCTTTTTTATTTGTGAGAGTTAAGTAAGGCGATTTAATGAGATGTCATTGAACTTTTTATAGCTACAGATAAATAAGAATATTATATTGAAAATAAATCGAAAGATAATTTTGGTGTGTCGTGGAGAGACCCCTAATCAAATATAATGGCAACAAAAAATTAAAAGGTTGTTGTACATATTGAACCCTTATATGGTAATATTTAAAGAGACATAATCGTAATGTTAAGAAGGTTGTAACATTTATAGAAAAATTATGAATCATTATGTATAGTTAATGTATATGCTAATATTTTTTTGAAATTTAAAATAAGTAAAAATGTTTGAAGTGGGGAAGACGTGTGTTTTAAAAACAAAATTGTATATACATTTTTTCCTTTTACGTTTTATTCTTTTTTATTTTTGTTGCGTGTATTTGTTTTTTGTTTTTAAACAAATATGGTAGTTTTCTTTTTCCTTTTACATTTATTTATTTGTGGAATAATGTGAATTAGGCAGGAAATATTTGGAAAGGAACGGGCTTTTTAAATAGTGAAAATATTATAGATTTTTTTTAGTGCTTTTTCTTAATTTTTATTTGTGAGAGTTAAATAAGGTGATTTGATGAGATGTCATTAGAATTTTTATAATAAAATTTGAAAATTATTTAATGAGATGTCATTAGAATTTTTTTAAATAAAATTTGAAAATTGTATGAATCATAAGGTGATTTAATGTTTTTATTTTTATGAGTTAAATAAGATGATTTAACTAAACTTAATTACACGTTTTGTATTTTAAAAAATATTAAAAAATAAAAAAAATATTAAGAAATTAGAATGAAGTTACACTTTTATAATAGTGTGTATATATATATATATATATATATATATATATATATATAACCTTCTTTTCCCTTCTTCCAAATAAATAAATAAATAAAATACATTCCCTTCCCCGATCCACTAATCAAACATACCATACGTCTGTTTTTATGTGTCCCCCATCTACGACTAAACAAGTCAGTAGGTGGGACATACTGGAATTTTGCTGTCCAAGGTGTCGTTTCAAACGACGTGGAATGGTAGGTATGTCTATTTACACGTCAGCAACTGTTGGATCTCCACACGAACTCTCTGTCCCCATTACACGTTTTATTGTCTTCATCCCAATCTGGACACCTCTAATTTTTACGAAGTGCAACTCCAACCATATATTTTTTTGTGTAAATAGAATGTGTTATCATTGATTTTTATATAAAAAATTAAATTATTTATTTTTTAAATTATTTGTTTTGAGAGTATGCTGAACCCAACTAATTTTTACAAATGTAATTCTTTAAAAAATTGTGTAAAATACGCAATAATTTTACCCATTAATAACGTGACAGTTACTATTGGCCAATAAAATTATATTTATTAATAAAATAATATGTACTAATATTTTTGAAATTGCTTCAAGATTAAACTAAAATATCAATTTTTAGGAGATTATAGCTCATGCAATTTTATTTGTGCACATTTGAGGAATAGACTCAAAATTGAACATCATAATTAATCTCCAAATTGTTTCGATAATTACACAATATATATATAGATACATATATTTTAACACTATAATTACACGATATTACATTGCATTTTTCCATAACAACAAAGAAGAAATAAAAAAAATAAAAAAGATGCATATTGGAGAAAGTATTTGGTACTCAGACAATATAATATTCCACCAATAATGAACAATTGTGTTTTCTTATTAAAGAAAATTGCGAAAATTATGGGTAATTTATTTTATGGGGTGGTACTTTTATTTATTTATTTCTCATTATGAAATTATAAAACCTCATTATTCTAAATCATTCTCTTGATAAAAAAAATATATACTCCGTTTTTTTTTTTATTCGAGAAAATCTCTCTCTCTCTGTCTCTAAAAATTTTCTATTAAAAAAAATCTCTCTCTTATTGACTTTCCTGTTATTGTGAACACGTCATCCAATAGTTGACGCTTTCAAAATCTGGTGGATCACATTTCTATCAACCTCCAAAATTAGCATCGTCCAGAAAATTTTCCGTGGAAGCAAACAGATATGCGTATATATACTACATAGGTAGAGAGAGAAAGATGTCGATTTTCCCGGAAAATCGAGGGAAAATCGATCGTCCTAAGCCCTGCATTTTCGGTGGCGAAAACAGTTTAATCCAACTCAGCCCCCTTCTCTCTCAAATTCTCTCTCTAGAATTCATATTCTGTAGTTAGAGTTGTTCTCAATTTCTTTGCATTTCAAGATTGATCGTGATACAGTTGTCGAATTGAATTACGATCAGCAAGATTTGTTTGCTTTCCCGGAAAATTTGTCGATTCTTTTCCGGGAAATACGATGCGCGTTTGAATCTGGTTGAAATTGGCATATACAAGAATCCTTTTGAACGAAACTTCTTTCTCTCTCTCTATTGATTACTCCTAATCGAAACCCTAGCTCATCAATCTGCTTTCTCCCGAACACGCTTTCTCTCTCTAGGAGAAGGAAAAGATTTACAAATGACTCGGCAGATCCTGCTTCGATCGCCGGCGGTGGACCGTCGGCAGCCGCTCCTGAACGAGGAAACGTCGCCGAAGCATCAGCACCGCCGGTTCGGCGAGGTGGCGGGAGGGACGACGGCGGAGTGCGCGGCGGTGTGCTGCTGCTGTCCATGCGCGATGATGCACCTCCTGATCATGGCCGTCTACAGGGTCCCTACCGGCCTCTGCAAGAAGGCTCTGAGGAAGCAGAGGAGAAAGAAACTGATGAAGAAGAAGCAGCTCCTCTTGCAGCGGCCAGCAACGCCACCGAATCAGCTGGGCGGGCCCAACGCAGCAGCAGCGGCGATGGGTTTCTGCTACGACGAATCGGAGGCGGAGGGTGACGATGGATCGGACGGTGATGATGATAATCAGGCGGTGTTCGGGAATGCATCAGCGGCCGTTGATTTGGAGAAGGTGATGTGGGACCAATTCTATGGGACTGGGTTCTGGAGGAGTTCTTCGCAGAGAGAGAATGAGAGTTCAATTTGACTTCCTACTCTCTACCCTACACTGTACCAACAACACTGCTGTTGTAAATTGTCTGCGATTGCCACGACTTGAGAGTGATTGGGGACCGTTTAATGGATTGATCGGACGGTATAGAAGAGGCTGGTTTTTGGCGATTAAGCTGTTGATAGAAATGAAGAGCTTTTTTTAGCTTCGAATTTCATTTTTACGGAATTGTATACACCCCTTCTTTTTTTTCTTTTCTTTTTTTTGGTTACTACGAAGATAAGAAATATACATACATTTTGAGAAACTCTCAAGGCTGGTTTATGGTTGATTAGCCACAGTTAATATTCCATCAGTCTCATGTTCTAGGGGTAGTAATTTTTAAGGGAACAACATGCATGGTCTTTTTTACAAGTTACTAAATTACCTTTTTAAGTTTGAATATTCAAATTTGAAATTGAAAATTCAAAGAATATATATGAATATGGAAAGATGTGAAATATATTCTTTATAAAGGTAAGTGGACATTTAGTTTGGAACAGATAAAAAAGGAAAGTATGAAACTTATTTTGAGAAGGAGTGGACACTTAGTTTGGGGATAAAAAAAGAAAGTATAAAACTTATTTTGAGAAAGAGTGGACACTTAGTTTGGGACTGATAAAAAAAGAAAGTATGAAACTTATTTTGAGAAGGAGGGAATACATTATATGAGCTGTTGCATAAAAAAAATAATAATAATAATAATTTTTTAAGGGTCTGTTTCGTTAGCGAGAAATTTATGGTGGAAAGTTGAAAAGAAATCTAAGGAAAATGAAATTAAGCTTTCATTATGCATTTGATTGTACACTAAGCTTTCATTATGCATTTGATTGTACACTAAATTCCAACTCCCTGAATTTTTTGAAGAGTATTTTAATAATTTTTGCATTGTTATGTTGTGCAAGGGTATATATTTATTCAGAACTCTCTATGTCTTAATAAAATCTGTGTATTCTGGTTGTATATGTGTTGTGATCTCTTTATTGTGTTTTTTGTTTAATTTCTCTGGAACCACTTCCCTCTTTTTTAAGGATAGAGAGGTTATACTACTAGGCCACAGCCTTTTGGGTATGAGAGTTATGACATCCTCCATTGATGTAGGACAGAATTCTGCACAGTTCAACAAGTCCGTTTTTTACAAACCTATAGTGTTTTTTTGGTGGAAACGACAAATTGAGAAAAATCCACTAGCTTTATCTTGTGGTCCATGCTGGTTTTCAGCTGAAAATATACGTTTATGGCTCCGAAATCGTATTTTATTATGTTATAAGAGGCCTGCTGTTTATTTCGAGATTTTTGTTCGAGGCCTTAACGAAGTCCGAATGTTCTAAAATTTTATATTTAGTAGTTTTACTTAATAAAGTTTCTTTCTCTATTTTTTTGGATTTTTTAGAGAGAATTTATTTTTATCCTTATATCTAGTAATAGGTTTATATTTTAGTTTCCTTCTAGTATTAAGTTTTTTTATTATAAATATTCATGTATTGCAAGAGCAGAATTTAATCTTTTATTAATAATATTTCAGAATTATTTATTAGTTTATCATTCGTTTTGTGGATTCAAAACATTTACTTTGTGGATTCAAAGTAAATTATTCCTCATGAACAAATTTATTGCTTCCGCTTATGTTAGTTGGTATCAAAACCTTGTCTTTTCTTGGTTTGATGGTAGGTGACCATTTTGGTAGCACCGACTTTGCCGACGATGATCGCAGAGTGAAGGCCCCTTAGGTAGCCATGCATACTCAAGATCGATTCGTAGCAACTGGTTTTGAAATTGGTGGTAACCAGATTCATGGTTCAGTTCGTGTTCACGTTGATGATATGTCTTGCAGTCAACCAAGTATAGGTTATGTTTATGTTTATCCACGTAGGCCTCCATTGTAACGACCCTAGATTTTTCAACCCAGTGTGTCCTGTGATGACCCAAACCGAATCCAAGATACGGAAGCAAAAGAAGCAAAATGGCCTCAAGAGATGTACGCCATCCCTTGGCACCACGATGACTCCCTATGAAGCCACAGAATTCAAATGAATAAAGCGTGGAAGCAAAACAAAGACAAGTCCTTAGAGATGTACATCATCCCTAGAGCACAAGAATGGACTCTCAAAGAGTTTCGAGTCTCAACGGAAACAAAATGATGAGAAGGGCATCAAAACCCTACAAGAGAAAGGCCAGGGGTAAAATGGTTATTTTACGCTAAAAGGAAGGAATTTAACTTTCACCAAGTCAAATTAGATCTAAAACATCCTAAAACACCCTTTGGTAACTTCACATGAGTCCCAAGGCCAAAGGAAGAGAAATCCCAGATGAACCTTATCCTGGTTCAAACCAAATCCGACACCGTCTCACTAAAATAAGGATATCTTGAGTTATGAGAAAATTCTAGAACTGAGACTGGCACCATTGAAAAGACAACAAAAAATTAATAAAGTTAGACTCAAGAATCACCTAATTTGGAGTCCGGACGGAAAAGATATCAAGTCCTGAAGCCGAAGGAAGGAAAACCCTATCCCGGTTCGAACTAAATCCTAACACTACTTCACTAAAACATGAATAACTTGAGCTACAAATGAAATCTGAAGCTCTAATTGGTACCATTGGAAATCTTATTTCGACACGGTCAGTTTAGACTCAAGAACGGACCAATTCGGAGTCAAAACGAGTGAGATATGGCCCGTTGAAAAAAGTGTCTGGAGCAGGAACAGTGTTCGCGGGCGCCCTCCCAAGACCCACAGGGGCCCGCCAAACACGGCAGATTCTCGTGGGTGCCTGCCAAAACACTGCGGGGGCCCACCAAATGAAGCAGAGGGGTGGTTTTGGAACCTTAAAAATTGCAGGAACAGTGTTCTTAGCAGATTTTTGAGTTTGGAGCGCGGTTTATGAGGTCAAGATGACATTTTTCGGAAAAACACGGAAAGGAAACTCCCCCTAAAATCACATTTTCTATGTGACAGGGTTGAGAACGGAATTTATTTCCCAAAGGAAATCCCCAAATTGCCCTTAAATCAGTTTAGGCTCAAAACGGTAAAAATGCAACTTTGCACCAAGCATATATTTGACCCAAAATGCACTTCTAAGCTGAAACGAATATGCACGCACACGTAATAGGTGATTTTGAGCGTGCGGGAATGGTTCATGGCTCCCAGAAATGGCCGAGTCAAAATTCGACCCCCAACGGCCAAAAGGCGAAAATGAACCTAAAATGGAAAGTTTGAAAACTAAAATCAACAAATGACTTCAAATGACCATTTGGCCCTTGGCCACACTTCATACATGATTAATGAGATCCTATGGAAGAATCAAAATGGAATTTCCACACCCAATGCAAACATGGTGAAACAAAAACTCAATAATTTTCAATATTTTCATAATATTCCATGAAGTCAAAAATTACATAGTATATGAAATACATGTTATTGGCCTCCGGTCTCATCTCATACATGTCAAATATATTGTAAAGAGTGTACTCATGTACACATTACATATATGGAATCAAATATATACATTTTGACATAAAAGACTATAAGTGGCATTCCAAGCCAACCTTTACAAGAGTTAAAAACCTTCAAGTCTAGAATCATCCAAGCATAATGAGAATCTTGAACCTTGATTCCTGTACCTGAAAAATGTCTCCACTACGTGGGTGAGTAACATAAAGCTACTCGTAGGAAATGAACATGCATCGACCTAACATTTTACAATTATATCACCTTAAAGTGAAACATGTTAAAGGGGCTCATGCCACCTAATGTCTATATCAAGTGAGACTCAGGGAGCATCCTAAGCTACTCATGCAATTCAAAGCGAACATCGGCATACAAGTGTATATGCTCAAGTATACTAAACAATGTTGAAACATGTTATGCGACATATAAGCATACATCTCCAAGTATACTAAACCATATTAAGACAAGTCATGCAATGTCTAAGCATATCTACACAAGTATACATTAATATGGAAATCTCATGAATCAAGTACACAACCACAAGTATACTAAGCGAAAAGGATTGCGCATGAGACAAGTATACACGTCACAAGTATACTACATGCAATTTAAACTCACAGAACAAGTATACAAGTTCAAGTATACTAAATAGTATTCAATTACCCCAAACAAGCATCAATTCTCAAGCTACAAGTAATCCATGATTAACAACTTGGAATTAAATACAAAAACAACAAGTAGTGGAAAGACTAGGACATGCGGTCGCTAGACCAAGCAAGTATTTTCTGGTAATTACGACCCACAAGGTACCACTTAGTGCGCACTTATGACTTAGAAGACTCTTGTCTCTGTATTAGAGCCAAACCCTAGCCATCATATAATTTATGTCCTCACAAGCTTTCCAAAATTAATAAGTTCAAAACTTATACAAAATCAAATGCAAGTTACCACATTCCATGCACAAGGAAGGTTAATTCCACACAAACCATGTCCTAGAATTCAAGTCTAAATAGTATATGACATATCATGTCCTCAATATGCAATTTATACATAAAGCAAGAATATTTTACAACAATTGAACCACATTACCATCCTAAGCCACAAGTACTAAATAGGCTCAATTTAGTATCAAGCTTTCAAGGAAATCAATTGTAATAATCTAACAAGTTATATACCTACACAAGATATATATAAACAAGTTATACAAGTCAATGATATTCTATATCATGCTAAGTCCAATTACCATTTCAAGAGGCCACAAGTACTAATTCTACATCTAATTAGTAATATGCTCACAAGGTAATTAATTTCACTACATTTCAAGGGATTTTCAACTTAACATGAAAAGTCTCTAGATTTGAAACCAATCCCTAATAACCTCAAATTAATATATGTTAAACAACATAGTATACTCAATACATATATCAAATCAAAAGAGCAAAATGGGCAAGACATCATCATGTAGATTTTAATTAATTTAAATAAATCAAATCTATAGTTTTCACAAATTATTCAAATGATTCCAGATTAATATATATCAAGTACCAAATCATCGTTATACCATATCTCAAGTATAAAATGGAATACAAGTAAAAATATAATTTACTAGAATTTAAATCAAATTAAATCCATTTAATCTCTAGATTTGAAAACTCATCTAAATCATACCAAATTAATATATATCAAAGATCAACTCATGGCTATGCCATTTACCAAGTCTAAAATGATTTATATGCAAGATATGATAAATCACTAATTTCTCAAATTAGCAAAAGACATGCATACAACTTATATAAGCATCAATAGCATGCAAGAAACA